CAATTCCTGCCTCAACAGCTAGAATAGGCAGGGAAAAACTCAGTCAACTGCATATTGCTCACAAAAGAAATGCTTAAAATTTTCAAAATAATGAATAGGAACAAAGATAATGAGTAAAATTCTGTATATCACCATAAGACTCACTCCTCTACTTGCAATTACAAGTTTAATTTTGGTCGTATATATATGGCTCACATTAAACATCTGTCACTGGGATTTTTCACCATTAACAATTTATTAGTTTAAATGATTCAGGGAAAAATTATTTGAAATTTTAAAATCTGAATTCTATAAAAAGGTAAATGAGCTAAAATACAAACTTACTGGCAAACTATCCCATCACATTAACATAGTAGAAGTATTTTCAGAGGCAACAACAAAATCAATAACTCTAAAACATTAAATACATTAAAAACAGGAAGTACGATTTCTAATTCCTATCTTAAAGGTAGGCAATATACTTTAATTAAATGGTGCATTAGACAGAGATATTCATCTGCAAAGGTCTACTCCAGAGTGTCTGAAGTTATAAGCTTGTCCTGCAAGCTCACACTCTTGAAGGGAAATCCTGGGCTCAGTCCACAGGGAATTCACTACACAGAAGGAGTCAGTCTTTTCCACAGGGTTAGGATGAAATGAGAAACCTTCATCTTTACAGAAATGCCCAGAGATAAATGGGCCATTTCAGGGGACCTCTAGTGTCTACTGTGAACAAGACAAACAGATATTAATGTTGAAAGGATCCTGGAAATTCTAAGAAGACCCCCAGGGTGAATAAATGAGCAATATCCCTACAATTCCTGAAAGAGAAGCGACACACAAGAGAAAGCAAAGTGCCTGGAGCGGCACTGTGTACCTACACCCAGATTCGTGAGGAGTCTCTGGTGCAGGGGCTGGAACAGGTGGAGTCTGCCCGAGGCACCGGACATCCTGAGCCACCATAGCCCAGGGTAGTGGCGGAAATGAACATGACCAAGCGGAAGGTAGAAGACTGCTCCTTGGAAGTTTATAGACGTGTCAAAGACTATCAAGGGGCACTTACAAGAGAGGCAGGTGGTAGCAAACAGGTTGCATTTGAACCGAGAAAAGAAAGCTGATAAAAGGGGAGAAAACAAAAACCTTAGATCGAACTGCTAACGTGTGAGAGCTTTGCAGGCTTCTGAAGATCTTCCTGTGCCTTGCCTTCAGACATGCGTACATTCAAATCAGTCCAAGAAAGGGACTAACCAGAGCTTTCTGTGAGAGACACCTGCATCAGACAATGGCACTCATCTCCGAGGGATTTTAAACAGCTGTGCATAAACTTCAAAAGTAATTTGCAACCAAATTAGCAAATGTCACCCTTCCCGCTAGACACAGCACTTTTAAAGGAGAGAATGGGTCTGCAGTGAGCCTGCCATGTTACAAGTCGCCAGAGCTAAGTTAGGGGGAAAAAAATGAAGATGGTGATTTCCAAGGCTGGGGTGAGGAGCTGCGTGAGAGCCCCAGGACCTTATGTGTAGAGTGTACCCATCAGATATCCCCGCCAGAAAAGGGCTGTGGCTTCCAGGGAAACAAAGCGAGGGCCAACCGAGTAGAGCCCCCAGATTTCTCGCTCTTTTCACCAGAGCCTAAAGCACCCCGATGCTTTAGAATTCTTTGTCAGATGCTAAGGACAAAGAAGTGGAGCTCACAGAACACACGGGCAGACGCCTCAGGTCTTGCAGGTGATTCGTAAAACAACTCCACAGGCTCGGCACTGACTCTCAAAAGGCACCCGCGACTAGAAGGACTCGGGTATTGGGTCTTGATGGCCCTTCTCCCCTCCGCCTCGCAGAGCAGAATGCCTGCTCTTTGCACCTCACCCCGCCACTGCTTTAGCCATTACTGAATAATCTTTTATTAGCATCATGTCCAGCCCACACAGCGGCAGGACAAGCCAGAGGACAACGCAGCTCTGTGGCGCTCTCCTCGCAGAAAGGACCAGAGCCTCCCTGCTTAGGCAACCTTTGACCTCGCTGCCTGCCCGTGGTGGGGGATGCCCGAACCTGAGAGTCACTTCCAGGTTGATAACTGTGGCTATTACAAATCCAGTAAAATCAAGAGATTTTATTTAACAACTACACTTTGTTGACATGTGGCCCCCAACCTGCAAGCCATTTCAGTGAAGGCTGCAGAATTGAACACACAGATTTAAAAAAAAAAAATCTGTCAGCCTCTTGCCTCTCCCTACCCCAGGTCCTTGCAAGGAAATCTGGCTTGTGTAGACGAGGGCGCGCTGGTAGCCCTCCCTACGCCCTGCACGAGCAAATTCCCAGAAAACCGGGTGTTTTGCCAGCTCCAAAAAACACCTTTCCTTGGAAGAACACGCAAACACCGCCCCCCGCTCCAGATGCACAAACTTGCCCCCTCTTCCCTCCCCTCCTGCCTGCATCAGCGCAGGTGAGAAGAAACCCAGGGAAGCAGCGGGTGCACGGCCTCCGCCGGCCGCTCTCCGCCGGCGCGCAAGAAGCCCAGAGGGAGCCCCAAAGTTTGCTTCGCTCCAGCTCTTTTTCGATTTCGCTCTCACCCCTGCACCAGTCAGGGTGACGTCCACCCTGACACCCCGCTTCCCACGGCGGCCCGCGCCCCTGCTCGGAGCCGCTCCGGGGGACGCCGGGCGGCTCC